TTTTGGCTCTGGTCAAGATCTCATGGTTTGATTCCTGTGATGGAGACCCACATCGGGATCTGCACTGACAGCACAGAGTCTGCTTGGGTTTCTCTCTCTCCCTCTCTCTGCCCCTCTGCTGCCATGCTCTCTCTCTCTCTCTCTCTCTCTCAGAATAAATAAATAAACAAAGAAAAAGAAGGTTCCAATGTAAAAATTTATTTTCTTCAACATAGCAGCACAAACATAGCCATGGCAAAGTTGTATTGATTCGGACTTTAAAATTTTTCCCTTAAAAGCACATGTACCCCAATGTTCATAGCAGCACTCTCCACAATAGATAAAACATGGAAAGAGCCTAAGTGTCCATCAATGGACAAATGGATCAAGAAGATGTGGTTTATCTATACCATGGAATACTAAACGGCAATGAGAAACAATGAAATCTGGCCATGTGTAGCAACATGGATGGACCTTGAGGGTGTTATGCTTAGCGAAATAAGTCAGGCAGAGAAGGACAAATATCACATGTTTGCACATATAGGAGGATTAGGAGGAACTTAACGGAGGACCGTGGGGGAGAAGAAGGGCGGAAATGGTGGGGGAAAGGGAGAGAGGCAAACCATGAGAGACTCTTGAATGCTGAGAAATAAACTGAGGACTGATGGATGTGGGGGGGAGGGGGGAGATGGGCGTGGAGGAGGGCACTTGTGGGGATGAGCACTGGGTGTTATATGGAAATCAATTTGACAATAAACTATTTGTAAAAAAAATAATAATAAACAAATAAAAAACAAAAAAAAGAAATTTAATGTAAAAAAAATAAAAAAATAAAATCCAAAAAAAAATTTTTTTCCCTTAAAGATTTGAAATAATTACCTTTGTCCTTGAACCTGCAAAATCAACCTTCATTACAGTGAATGATGAGATAAGGAGACCTTTGAAGAATCTATATCAATAACTGCTGTAGTGTTGTTTCTGGAGGATGTCTTACCTCCACTGTGATTGCTATTTGTGTGCCCCATGAATTGGAAAAAGCTGAGAGGAAGCTAAGGCATCTTTATAGACTGTGCCAAGGCCATTTGAGGATTGGGACTGTACTGTTTTACTTTTAAGTTTTGTGCTTTTTATATGTTGTGTAAGAAATCTTTCCTTATTCTAAGTTTAAGGTTGTGTAGATAATCTCCTATATTATCTTCTAAAAACTTTATTGTTTTGGGACACTTGGGTGGTTCAGTTGGTTAGGCACCTGACTCTTGATTTCAGCTCAGGGCATGATCTCTCCATTCATGAGTTCAAGTCCCATGTCGGGCTCTGCACTGATGGTACGGAGCCTGCTCCCGATTCTCTGTCTCCCTTTCTCTTTCCCTCCCTCTCTCTCTGTCTGTTTCTATAAACAATAAACAAACATTTTAAACATTCTATTAAATAACATTCTATTAAATTAAATAAACATTCTATTAAAAATAAACAAACATTTTAAAACTTTATTGTATTAACTTTCACATCTAGATAAATAATCCACCTGGACTTGATATTTTGTTTTGAGGTAGGAGTAAAATTCCAATTTTCCCAATATTGATATTTTAATTGAGCCAGTAGTTTAATTGCAGAGACTGTCCCTTCTCCATTGGTTGACAGTACCAATATTGACATTTAGCCAGTGTCTGTATATGTATTGGTGCTTTGGCCTCCCTATTCTATATCATTCATGCATATTAGTATTTCATTGTTTTTTTAAAAGCTTATTTATTTATTTATTTAAAGCTTGAGCAGGTGAAGGGCAGAGAGAGAGAGAGGAAGAGAGTGAATCCCAAGCAGCCTCCATGCTCTCAGCATGAAGTCCCACTGGGGCTTGAACCCATGATCCATGATATTATGACCTGAGCTGAAACCAAGGGTTGGTTGCTTAACCACTGATCTACCCAGACACCCTAATATTTCATTGTTTCAATTCATATTGCTCTTTAGTAAGTCTTGATGTGCAGTCCTGTAAATCTGGAGAGGTTTCAGGGAAAACAAGTTCTTTCTATGCTAGGATTCCAGGCACTGCCTTGGGACCTGGTCCTGGCTTGGGTGTAGAGAGGTAAATGAGAGAGAGGCAGACATAAAAACCATTCTCAGGGATCCATCAATATCTCAGCTTTCTTTTCTTCCCTTCTGATTCATTTTCTTTCCCAGCCAAGAGACACTGAATCTTGTCTCCAGAATGGAAAACCTGTGCCCTTTGACTATCATATATCCTTCCAAATCCATTTTTATGTTCTGAGTCCTTTCCCATATTCTCTTGAGAGATAGGCTGTTGAAATCAAAAAACCCCAAAATTTACTTCTTCTTTCTATTGCATCATCCCTCTCCTGAGGTAATGAATTACTAAACTGAATTGGTGGCAGAGGAAAACTTATAAGAAAATGTTGAGGAGGAAACCTTAAATCATACTCAAAATATTATTTTACCCAATTTGTCTAGAGTTCAAAAGATAAACATCGAGAAATCATGAGCAAACTAATGATCAGTTAGAGTAAATGTTAAGAAAAGGTTTATTATAAATAACATAAGCTAAAGTTAATTAAGTCATCTTATCTGAAAGTTCATTGACTATATCTTGCTCATCCATAGCCCAGGCAACTTTTTAATCAGGCGAGTTAAAATAACTATTCATGGTTGCCTTCAGTGAATCAAATGAGCTGCTTATAGTTGGTTATTATGGAACTCTCTTCAACCCCCAGCCTGAATTAGTAGAGGCTACAAGTGGTTTCTGTATGAATACTTGGTGATTCCCTATTTAGAATTCCTGTTATGGTCAAATTATCTAAGACTGAAAATATGTATTGTCTTAAAATTTGGTGTTTACATGAATTAAAAATGGAAAAATATAAGAAAAATATGCTTTTTAAGTATGATTGATATTCTCATTTAGGATATACATACAAACAGGAAAAATTTATATAATTCCACAATTATTTCTTAAATAATTACTTTACAAATAAATTCATGAAATTAATTAATTCTTCTATGAAGGATTTTCTTGGAAACCAACAAAAATGAAAAGCTAGTTTTAAAGCCTGGAGAGTTCTTATTAATTTGCCATGTTCTTCCCATCAGCAACCATTAAAAGCACTTGTGTTGCTTTCTAAACTATTAATCCCCACCACAGACAGAACTACATGGCACCATCCCTATGCTGGTTACCCCACTGTGTATATTTGTGCATTCAGATTATAGATCCAACCACTTACTGAATATCCTTGATTGGCCACCTACTCAGGTGCTCAAGATGTGAATGTCATTCTTGAGTCCTCTCCTTTCCCTCACTCCTTACCTCTAATAAATTATCAAAGCTTCTCAATTTATTCTCAAATGGTCTTGAATCTCTTATTTTCTCTCCTTACCTAATGTCACCTCCCTCGGCCAGCTAATTGTTATCAAAGGCCTGAGAAACTACAAGAGATATTTCTGGCTTTTGCTCTTGTCATCCTTTATTCGCATTGTAGCCAATAAGGTCTTTCTAAATTGCAAATCTGACCACTCTTCTCCCTTGTTTAAAAAATTATAATTGCATCTTTTTACAACCCTTTGCCAAAACACCAAACCCTTCTCTGGCCATCCTAAAGAGAATTATGTATTCTGTATGAATTATCCTTCTTTGAATCTATTGCAATTTTATTTTCTCTCTCCCTTTCTGTAAAGGAAGAAACTGTGTCTTCCTTGTTTATTATTGCATCTCTAACGCCCAGGGCATAAACTCAAAATTTTGTTAAGTTAATATAAGGATAAACAAATAAATTGCGTTTTGCAAAGCCAACACTTTGGGAGTTGGGAGGTGAATTGTTTTCTCCTTTGGTACAGTAACTATTAAGTATGTTGTCACCAGGGATAATAATCCACTGAGCAAACATGACTTCTGATGGTTAACTAAAAAAATGAACCATGACTTAAACTCAATGACATATGTTAAAGAATAGATGACATATCTTTTGAAAAAGTAGTTGTAAAAATCATAAATCCTTCACTATTATCAACACAGTAATAGAGTAACCCTAATCTAAAGTAAGCTAAGTATAGGATCTTCCTGAAGCTTGTCCACATTGTTGATTCAAGATTTCTTCATTTACTATGAGCTTTAGCTCTCTTACCAAAAAGCCTTTGACTGGCAAAGGATTTTTCATCTCACCAACATGAACTGTCCAATATCCCCCTACTTTATTGTAAAGAGAAGTCACATTTTACTTATGAGGCCGACAAGAGATAATACCTATGTTATACATCCACTAACTAGCAATATGAATATTTGTAGTTGCGTGTCTTTCACCAAGGGCATAGTTTATGTCCATCTCGACTTTTCTCTGTCTTTACGTTCTGAAGAAAATTGCTTTAAGCCCTTTCACCTACCTTCAAATCACTAGTTTAGCCGAGAGACATATAAAATAACTATATTGTCTGTTTTCTCAGTAACCATCATTAGTAGGGTCATGTGCTTTTCTTTCCTTTGATATAAATCTTCTTTCAGAACTGGGACATACATGTCTAAGCTACACCAGAGCATAATTTTGAGAACGTATCAAAAGAACAGAAACTTTTAAAGGAATATAGGTATAAGGCAATGCCTTCATAAGTAGTCATTTCAGAATCTCAGCTCTCAGTGAGATAAATTTCCACCCTGAAAAATGCAATATCAGCTCCACATTAGATACAAATAAACTGAGCCTCAGAAAAAACACCTGAACAAAAGATTTGATGAGCAACTGTGACTTCATTTCCTCAGAAATCCTACTTTGACCACTGGGGCCACGTGGGACTTGCGGTAATAGATCCTCTCCAAAAGTGAGTCTTGACTCACTAAAATGTTATCAGTATAAATAGTGTTGTCCAGAAATAAATATCCAGGTTTTTAAACAAAGCTGTCGTTTTTCAGTCTTAGAAATATGGACCTGGTCCCTCAGGGGAAGGAAAGAAAGGGGGGAGAAAAGCAAGCCACCAGGAAGAATGAAAGTTTAAATGAGCAAGACCCGGAGATCAAGTTAAAATCGGTGAAGAACAAATGTTAAGGCAAGAATGGCTGGGGGACCCCATCTGGGGGAGGGAAGACTGAAGAGGAGCCAGCAGAGGAGTGACTGGAAAGGAGGGGCAAGAGGCATATGATTCATGAGAGCAGGTGCCCCTTGTCAGGCCGCACTGCTTTTGTTCTGTCCTCGTCCCTTTCCTGCTCTGCATTCTGCCCTCTGGTTTCTATTTAGACGTAGTTGCTTCCTTTATTCACAGTTTTCATCCTGGATGTAACTATTTCTCTGTTATCAGCATCTGTGTTGCTTCAGATGGTGCTTCCTTACGTCCTTGAAGCATTTCCTGAGGTATGACTCCAACTGTTTGGGTTCCAGGTGTCATCCGTGCCAGCCATTCATCAAACGTGTACATCCTTGTCTCCCACAGAGGACTAGGCTGTTTGTTTATGGTTCTGTCTGGAAGGATTCACTGTAATGAAGAGGTAGAGCTTTAATTGCTCTCAAAAGGTATAATCATACCTTCCACATGCTACAGAATAGAAAATCATTTCTAAATAAAAGAGAATCACAGATTTCTTTATCTATAAAAATAACTTGTATAAAAGCACCAGACATTAGCAAATATTTAAAGAGATTAAATGACTTACCTTAGAAAGTTTGCATGTGTTCAAAGCATTTCTATTAACTTTCCATTTTCATAATTAGGTTCAGAGTTGCTTGGCAATCTATTTATAGTTTTCAACTTTCTTGCTCTATATGTATCTATGTATATATACATATATACGTCAGCAACTTCATATATCAACAACTATTTTTAAGGGTAAAATTTTTATCATCACATATGTAACATGAAAGCTATGAAGGACACATTTAGATAACAACTGCTCAGTCATTGTACAGACCAAGATATCTGTGTGAACCATCAGGATAAAAGCAGCTTTATTTTGTTTATGGCATTTCAAACAATATGTTTCGTATTTTATTTTTTAATGTTTTATTATTTTTGAGAGAGAGAGAGAGGGTGTGAGTGAGGGAGGGGCAGAGAGAGTCGGAGACACAGAATCTGAAGCAGGCTCCAGGCTCTGAGCTGTCAGCACAGAGCCTAATGCATGTCTCGAACCCACGAACCATGGGATCATGACCTGAACCAAAGCCGGACGCTTAACCAACTGAACCACCCAGGCACTGCTATGTCTCCCTATTTTAATATTGTTTTGGATCTCTTGATTGTCATAATCACTAGAGCTAAGCATTTTCAGAACAAGGACCATCCTTGATCTATCTCGGTATCCCGTAGCATACCTATTATAACATAGGACTTTACATACAATTGGTGAGTAATAAAAATTTGTTGAATGGAAATACATTTTACCAAGTAAAAGAAAACAAAAAGTTAATGAGACTGAAACCCATTTCTTTGCCTTTCCATATTAGACACTTACTTTATTATTTGGCCCAAAGTAATTTTTACAAAGAGAGCAATTCATAATTAGGAGGAAATTAATAATATTTAAAGCACTAAGTAAAAAACCTCTCTTAGAAAAGAGAATATGCAATCAGTTGGTGTTTTTCCACTTGCTTAAACCACAAGTTTTCTCCAAAAGATTTTTGAGATATGAGGACATTGGATTTCCTTTGGAGCACAAAAAGGTAATAGAAACTTTCTGTTCAGAAGCTTTTAAATGATATTGTACAGTTCCTGTTATGGAATGTGTATTTGTGACTCATGTTGAATCTTCACTCAGGTTACTTATAGGTTGTTTATTTTTTTATACGTGGAAAAACAAAGTAAAACAAAAATAATGCCACATACTCAAATGATTGATAAGGCTTTCCAGCACAAAATGGCTTGAGAAATTCAGTGATAAATGTTTCTTAGCCTTACTTACGCTACACAGAAAAATTATTGTTCTCTCCAATGAACATTCTGCTAATCTAAAAGAGACTTTCTTTTTTAGAATTGAAAAGGTTTCAGATTCACTAAATTATTTACCAGTATATTAGTACCATATATGAAGAGGCAGAATTTCAGAAAAGACAAAAAGTGGGTTGTTTTCCAATTGGTCACCTGTATTTAGTTATTGCATGACTTACAGTAGTGGATCCTCTTTATTTACAAGTATGAATGACTGAACATCATGACAAAATCAGCTACAAATCAAGCTATTTCTATTTGTTTAGGCCACATCTAACAAATACCTGGACTCTACCAACAAATCATAGTGCTTCTGAAAGCATCTATTGTTTTCCCTTTCCTAGATAAAAAGACTTTCTCTGATATCTACAAAGGGAATACTTCTATACGGTGTCTGATTCTCATCACTGACCATCAACATTTTGAATGTTGATTTGATATGTGCTAGATGTTTTTTATGCTCACAATGGAATTTTTAATAAATTTCTTTTTGTTGCAAATGGATGTATGTAGTGAGATGGCATAGGCGTGAATACAATAATGAGTTTCAAGAAGAGTAAGTTGGGTTAGACTGAAGATGATCGTTTTTACATTGTGGTTTAAAACTCCTAGCTTTCTGGAAATTGTCCAGATAGGAATATTTTTAAATGTTTTTTTTTTTAATTTTTCATTATCTTATATTCTTCTAATGTTACTTATGATGAGGATAAAAATCAAAGCTTTATTAACCATAAGATATGTGATGATGGAAACATCACATTGTCTTAGGTTATATTTTAATTTTATAATATTATATTTAAGTTTAGTCCATTTTACTGAGAATATTGTTGTCTAATAGAGCAACTTCATGAAGATCTACATACAGCAATTTCTCTGATGTTTGCAATCTAAAAAAGGAGTTGGTAAACTTTGTAAGAACCATGTGCTAATACTTTTTTTATTTTTAAAAGATGTTTTAAAAAAGAGAATAATGTAAAACGAGGATCTCTTAAGTGGCGCACAAAGCTGAAAATACTTATTCAGCCTCTGCACAAAAGAACGTTTGCAGACCCTTGTTCTGCAAGTAAGCATTGCCTTTTAGATAATGGTTGAAATTTATCTCCAAATTTGTCCTAGAGTCACAGTATCTCAATGGGAGAAAATATCTTCAGAATAATTGACTCATTCATTAGTCAGATATATCTTCCTCACCAATGGACAGATGCTGTTTAAGTTACTGGTTGTGTTTCTTATACAATCAAACACAAGATGAAAGGTATAATGCCTGTACAATGAAGTGTCATCAGTAAAATCTTTCATCTAACCAAAATAGACCTTACCTATTATAAAGGAGGACAGATAATGAAAATAATATATTACATCACATAACACTTCATTCCTTCTAAGGCACTCAGGCTGGACTGTCCACAGTGAGTGGCCCTCAAACAGAATAAGGAGACTCTGAGTACATACCTCTTTCCCTTCATTTAGTCATCCCATGCCTGCAGCAAACTTCAACTACTGACCTTAGAACACCTTTCCAAGGAGACTGGATGCAGCCTTTTCATCCCTTATCACACACCTCTGATGGTCTGTCACTATGAATTCATCACAGTTGTCAGTTAACACATGGGAGTTCTTTATCACATTGGTACCTGAAAGGTGTGGCAGAGGGGGAGGGGAAGTTGAAGCGGAGGTCGCACAGGTGATTGGGATGAAGAAAAAGTCAGAGGGTAGAGATATCTCTGTAAGGTAAACAGGAAAGGGAGAAAAGGAGATGGCCATTTTCAGGGAAATGAATTAAAGTCTTCTTTTTTGGTATGAACTGGCAAATATTTCAGAGTTATGTTTTAAGAATAGGATAGGCACCTACAAATGGCTGCATAACTTTAAGTTTCTCAAAGGCAGGAAATGAATCAGAAAAGGTTTTAAGACTTAAAGATGAGGCCAGCAATGAGAGAAAGGAGGAATGGAAATTATGGAAACAGATCTGAAGGGTTGTATGTTTGTACATTATTTATACCCCAAGAATTAGCTTTAATATAAGCATAAGCTACAAGTCTCAGGAGAAATGCAACTAATATCCAGTATAGCTCTTTAAGAAGATAGAAGTCCAGGATGTTCATCAGTATCACAGAAACATTAGGATGCAGTAAAGTCAGAATAGAAAACCAAAGTACCCAAAGGTGTCAACTGCCTATGTATTACCAACCTTTGTGAGTGAGGCTGACTCTGTTCACTTAGAGAATGTTCAGTGATTATAAGCATATCAGATATTTAATAATGCATGCATGCAATACCTAATGATTCTGTTAATTAAATATTTTAATTTAGAATATTTGATATAATTTAAAACTGGACTGAGAAACATCCAGCTTCAGAAATGACATATTTCAGGAGCCTGTCATAAACTGAATAATTGTGGAGGCAGAAAGTACTCTCAGTGACAACCTAGTCCTGCCTCCCCAGGTCATAATTGAACTCAAGGGATTGAGACAGAATCCCTCCATTGCCACCCAGTCCTGCTGACTCAACACTGTTTCTGTTATACCCTGTGGCCACCATGTCACTGAGATGTACAAACCCTCCCTACACACACACATACCCCAGTGCCCATGAGGCTATCTCCTAGCATTCCTGAGCATTCTTTATGTGGTATGGAAATTCTGTTGTCACTCCTTGAATGAAGGCATCAGAACTTACTGACTGCTGTCTAAAATAAGACTATCCTTTGCCCACAAGTGAGGTTAGAAATATATTTAATTTTATATTTACTACATAACAAATGCTCTGCTAGCTGCTATACAAGGCTATACATAGAGAAAATAAGCTCTCTTAAAATTGAACTAGGTCTGGCTATAGTATAAATGAAACCAATTAGAAATGACATTGTCAAAATATTACAGTGCTTCATTGTTTTCTAGTATCATAGCTGTCTTGCAGAGTTTTCTCAACTCCTTTCAGACACAGATTTATGAAAATCTACAGAGAAAGCCAAGCAAATAAAACATGTGTCCATGTACTAATACCAAATATAAACAAAAATATGAAAATATTTCTGAGGTTAAATATGTTGGGTACCAATGTGTTGTCATTACAGTCTATCCCATGGGAGTACAAGACTAAGTTCTGTTCATCCCTTAGTGACCTAGAAATTTGACCAAATATAGAGAATGCCTTCCAATCCAGTTTCTGAGGTGAGCATGAAAATGCATGGCTACCAAAGATTGGTATTTATGGGAAACAAGGTGTTGGTTTTTAAAGAAGAGAGCTAAAAAGTTGGAAAATTCTTGATAAAGAAAATGAACTCAAGTTCCATGACACTAAGTAATCATCCATCATCACTACATCTAAAAAGTGATATGGACAATAAAATTAGTACAAGGTATCAAAACGTACATTGATCATAAGAGAGACACAGTGCTAATCCAATGAAAAATGAGTCCTTGTAATAACTCTGAAATAGTCCCAAGTACTGCGAAAAAGAAAAAAAAAACACATACTATTGGATAGGTCTAATGTGGCACTTAAAAACATGATTGTTTGTGATGTTAAGATTACTAAATAATGACAGCAAAGAAACAGTGATTGGTACCCAAATACAGATATCCTAGTCAAGTTTTACAGAAAAAAAATAATAGAAATGATCCATATTTTTAAAAATGTGCAATATTTTCAGCCTTTCAGATGCCATAGAGTAATTACTTTGTCTTTTTTATGGTTTTCCAAATAGGTGAGTATATGAACTTCACCCCATCTTCTATATAAGCCAGGTCTGGGTTTTGCTGTTACCACACGCATTTTGCTACAAATTAGAAAGTTGCATTATTGACAAAGCTGGTCAAACAAAGCAAGCCAAGAAAAACACACTGCATTGCAACAAAGCAAGTTGGACAAATTATTACAATTATTTTTCAAAATAGGCTACCAAGCATAAAGTAAACATATAACATGCTTGAACTGAACTGAGAGACATATTAGTAACTCTTGCAAGTCTGATTGTAATAAACTTACTTCCTCAGATCTTTATGGCCCATTAGTATTTACATTTATATTCCTGGATTTAAGCCGTTATCACAGAGATTCTAGAAAATGGGTTTATTTTTGTGCTTTGAGATTTGGGTGCTTCTTCAAGAATCAGGGATTTAAAAATCTATTCTTCAGGGCACCTGGGTGGCTCAGTCAGTTAAGCGTCCGACTTCAGCTCAGGTCATGATCTCCTGGTTTGTGGGTTTGAGCTCCACGTTGGGCTCTGTGCTGACAGCTAGCTCAGAGCCTGGAGCCTGTCTTCAGATTCTGTGTCTCCCTCTCTCTTTGCCCCTCCTCTGCTCATGCTGTCTTTATCTCTGTCTCAAAAATAAATAAAACATTTAAAAAATGCATTCTTCAAGTTGCTGTGAAGATCCATGTTGGGTCATTAAAAGGAAAAAAATTAAACCATTTGTGTGAAAGAGTGAACATAATTTTTTCTTCCAGAAAGAGTCAGCCCTATAATAAAAAATCAAGAAATCTCTTGTAACCCCCAAGCTCTAAATATCTAGAGGAAACCACACAATTTTGTGTAAAGTGGGACTAGAGATACAAATCATGGTGAGATTAGAATTTAAAAGTTTTATTCATACCATTCAGAAGCCTCCCTCAAGCTGAAGAATTTAGAAAATACTGACCAAGCATCTGATTCATGTATGTTTCTAAAATGTACCAACAGCAATAGTGTGATGTGTTTTCAGAACCAGAAAAAGTCTTCAAGGCAGGATGGACACAGCTAGTTCTGTTATTTACTCTTGGCAGAGAACCAACCTCATGATGTCTTTTAAAAAGTATGCATAAACTGGGGAAAAAAGATTATTTATAGGTCAAATGAAGAAAAGAGAAAAACAAAGCCCAATATTGTGTCTTAAGATAAATATTGATTGAAAGTCTTCTTTATGTCTTGGGTAAGAAGAAATGCATATAGTTGCTAGTAATGGAGTGAGAACAAAAAGCGTTGCAGATATTTCTATGATGAGCACAGGGAAAGGAAAATACAGAAAAAGTTGTGGCAGATACTATGTTCACAAAATCATTTTTTCTTCTTGGACGCTTAGCCATCCCATATTTTTCTGGCTTCTCTTACAGTTGCATGAGGTCATGTGGCTTGTGATCAGTGAAATGTGGGCAGAATGATATATAGCACCTCTAGGCATGGCTACTACTAAAATCAGTCTCCTAACAATTCTCTCTGCTGCCTCTTTTTCTGGCTTACCAATAAGATATAGAAAATACAGTAGAGCACTCTCAGACCTTAAACTAGGCAGTGCGTCTTTCATTGAGAAAGCTGGGCTAGGAACAATATATCAACTGAACTGAATACTGGGATAAGTAATGCTACAAGCTCCTCATTTTGTTGCTGACAGATAACAATTTGTAGATTGCTACACTTTGAGTAGTAGTACAGTAGTGCCCCAGGAAGGCAAAAGGCAATTGGATCCCTGAATCATCAGAGCAGATCACCAGACCAGTCATAGGCACCTTAGGTTGTTGCAGGAATAAGAAACAAACTTTATTGTTTCAGTTAAGCCAATACTACACACCTTGGTTAATGCAGATTGTTAGAAAGAAAAAAGATTCTAACCTACAAACAGAATAGACAGTGTTTTCAGATGATCTTAAAATGTTGACAAACTTTAACAAATTCCACAAAACAAAAATTATGAGTAGATTGTGTATTCTAACCATATACAATAAATTGTACTTAAGAAAAAGATGTTTTTAATTCTTTTAAAGTTTTTTAATGTTTTTATTTATTTTTCAGAGATAGTGCGCACACATGAGCAAGGAAAGGGCAGAGAGAGGAGAAGATAGAGGATTCCTAGCTCATGCTGCTCAGACAGCAGAGTCTGATGCAGGGCTTGAACTCAGGAACTGTGAGATCAAGACCTGAGCTGAAGTCAGAGGCTTAACTGACTGAGCCACCCAGGCTCCCAAGAAGATGTTTTTAACAAGCAAATTTAGTGAAGGGCATACATATTATTTTTAATTTTTTTAATGTTTATTTATTTTTGAGAAAGAGATAGATAGAGTATGAGCAGGGGAGGGGCAGAGGGAGAGGGAGACACAGAATCTGAAGCAGCTCCCACGTCCGAGCTGTCGGCACAGAGCCCGACTCAGGGCTTGAACAGTGAGATCATGACCTGAGCCAAAGTCGGATGCATTACCAAATGAGCCACCCAGGTGCCCCTAAAAATATTATTTTTGATAACTCTTTGGCCAAAGAGGGTATTTAAAACTGTAAACATCCATGCCAACAATAAGATCAGTATGTATCAAAATCAAAAGATTGAGGACAAAGCTGTTCTGAAGTGCATTTATAGCCATTAATAAAATATGCATAAGAACTGAAGAAGCTGGAAGAACAAGCATACAAACATTAGGAAAGCAAGTGGGGTAAAATAACATAAAAGGAGAAAATAATACAATGCATTTAAAGGAAAAGCTGTAAACTTAAATGATAAACCTAGAAACTGGAGTTTTATCATAAAACAAAAGTAAAGGCAATACAATAAACCCCTATGCAAATCTAATCAAGAAAAAAAAAACCTTACTGATACATAAGATGCAGAAGGAAATATTAAGAAATTATTTAATTTGGGGGAAAGTATAAATTATCAGCATT